TTCCTGCATCGCATTGGCAATTTGAAACTGCAGCTGCTTTATTGGTGGCTAGTGTTAGTAAATTTACGAGCGGCCATGAAGCAGATGTGAGAACGTGTTACTCCCAAGCCTTGCAAAAAAGTTTCTGAAGGTGTCTTTTAAACCTTCTGTTAATTCACTGTGTTTTGCTTGTTTAGAGATTTTTTTTGCATTTTCCTCGCTTGTTTGCGAAGCGCAGCTTCGCCTCTGTGTGATAAGTTAATATGGCACGCCAAAGTGCTTGCACAAAAACAGGATATTTCCAAATCATGCAAGCACATCCACATTAACTCAAAAGTGATGATTTTTCTTTCATATAAAGTCTGTAAAAACTAAATTGCCCGAGCAGTGCGTTATAATTTTAAAACTGAGACATTATGTCTAATCATATTTTAAGTGATTTTGTCTCTTTAGATACATAATGCAGTACGGAATACTAAGATATAGAGGTAGGAGTTATAGCTCCCGCTACTTTTGTATATGTAGCAAAAGAAAATCGTGCCACGTATTTTCATTAAGTTGAGCTGTAAAAATATAAGGACTGGCTTTCAAAACGCTAATTTTTTGAACGTTCATGAACTATATTTTTGAGCTGCTATGGTTTGTTTTATGAGCAATTTCGCGCCTATAAAGCTTGACTTTTCTAAAAAGAAAAAGAAGTTTCAATATACAATACTAGTAGAGCTACCAAAGGTCTAATCAAATTTTCCTTTTTGAAGGACTAAAATTAAACAAGCATTTTTGAGCTATCGTGGTGCAAAGCTTTCTGTTGTTTTGAACGAGAGTAATTTCCCTCAAAACTAACTTGTTTTTCTCATTTTAAAAACCAATTTATAGCTTTGAACTAATATAACAATTTATAACTCAGTTTGAAGTAATGAAGAATTGAATTTTCAGTAAACCCAAAGGGGTTTAACAATTTGGTTTTGTTTTAAAGGAAATGAGTATAGACATTTTCTTGCATGCTCGAGGGTTAGAGATTTTTCATTGTAACAAGCGGAATTTTAGTACGGTAATTTCTGCGACCAATAGGAATTTTCCTGAAATTCTTTAAATTATTCAGGTTTTTACCTTAGGCTTAAATCAACTAAAAGAACTTGAATTTTATGCGCCAAGTTGATTATTTAAGATTAAGGCAGCAAAGCATGTGATCCCCATGGATTTGTTAGCTGTGCTCACTGATGCATATAAATATTCTTCAAAATTATCTGATATTAATCTATACTAACAGAGAAATAAATTCTTTTTCACTTTTTGAAATATGAAAATGGCATTGTATGACATCGGCCTTTTAAATTCCTTTTTAAGTTTGAAAGTTAAAATGTTTGTGAATTTCAGTAGTTTTGGAGACATTTTGGTCAAAAATAACTCAAAATTTGATTTTATAAGTTGTTGTATTATTGAACAAATAAATCAAAATTTGATTTTATAAGTTGTTGTATTATTGAAATAGAAATCCCTGATGGATGAATCTAGATAAATTGTACGGTTGCTTTACATATCACTGTTTTTGTTTAAGTTTTGAGAAGCTGTTTCTACGTTCAACGAGCTATTTGAAGCACTATAGTTTTTCTTAATGCGTGATCTGATAAACCTTCCTACAAATCTTTTATCAGTTTTGTTTTGCTCTGCTTTTGTTTGCTCTGCTTTAATTGTTTTTATTGTTGTGGCGGTTGTTGAAGTACTTGGGTAAGTGCAAAAAAATGTTAATGATAAGATTCAGAAATGCTGTTTAAACTAGCTAGAGGTTTAAAGATAGAAATTTTGGGTCAGATTGGTTAATTACTTGAGAAAACCGTCTGCTCCTTCAATGTAAGCGGAGGTGAGGGGCACTGCTGCTGGTTGTGTAATGCTGGAAGATATTTTTTTCTAAAGAAGCTTGAGCTTTGCTTCATACTAAGTTTAAAATCGACGAATCAATTAGTGGTAGTAATAGTTGTAGTAGTCGTAAAATATTCAATTTACCCGTGGAAATTTATATTAGTCAAACAAAAGTGTTGTGACGTTAAGTTGGCAATTTTCACGATCCTGTAGAAAAAACATTTTCGTTGTGTGGACGTTAGAAAATTTGCTGAGCTTCAACTGGAGATGTGAAGTTTTTCTGAGAGTCCCATTTGGTTCCTGGATTTCGAACAAATCAGCAAAGTTTAAGCAACTCGCTCTGAGACGAACTGAAGAATCGTATGTCCCTCCCTTTCAGTTATTTAGTAAGCTATCGTCAGCCTATTTGAAATTTACAGCAGCTCGTAAACATTTTTAGAGCCGTAAAACTGTAAACATCAGAGTAATTGGATGACTCGAATTGACTCAACCTTTTATATTCAGAAACCAAGCAAGACAAGACTGCTCATATCAGGGCGAAGCCCTGAATGTTCGGACTGACTTTTAAGGTTTGTGGAGCAGCAGTAAAAACATAAAAAATTAAATCAAATAAAATAAAATGAAAATTTTTTTTCCCCAAAATTTGAATTTTTTTAAATGAAAATCATCCCCCCACACGCCATATAAATTACAAAACGATAGATTTCGTTCCTCGTAACAAATCAATTATGGCAACTAAGCTTCTTTCAACTAATTTGGAACAATTTCTAAGACGGATTAAATCTCCGCTTACGCGTTAATAGCGCGAAATATATCGCTCGTTAATTGTCTCAAATTGGCCAAAATGGCAATCTTTAAAGCCCCATAACCTTACGAAAAATGATCACAGCTGAAATATCTTTTCAAATTTAAGCTCAAGACAACAATACTTTTTGAATGATAAAAAAAAATTCCGTCAAAAATGGCTAGTTAAAAAGTCGAAATTTGTCCGAAGAAAAAAAAACCCACCCCGAGCACAAATATTCCGTTACTTTCGTATCGCGTTTTTCTCAAATTGGGTTGAGTTTAGGTGAAAACTTATGAAGACAAAACTTGCTTAGAATTTAAGCAGAATTAATATGGTGTAATTTGTTTTGCGAAATTCGGGTCCAAAATTTTACCCCAAAAATGGGTCATTTTGGCTTTTCTTAGTTAATCAAAAATTACGCCAAAAATACCCAGTCGATCACAGACATAATTATATCAAATTCAGCCACTTACGTAGTTCAACAAAATTTAAGCAAGGTATTTTCTCCAAAAAAAAAATTGCATATTGTTTAAAAATTGTTTTTAAATAAAAAGGTGTATTTTATATAGTAAAAATGACCTTTTTTGTCTATCAAACAAAAATAAATTAACTTATACCACATTTTGGAGATTATACCCTTCTTAAAGTTTGTTGGGCTACGTAAGGGGCTCACTTTGATATAATTGTGTCTGTGATCGACTGGGTATTTTTGGCGTAATTTTTGATTAAATAAGAAAAGCCAAAATGAACCATTTTTGGGGTAAAATTTCGGACCCGAATTTCGCAAAACAAATTACACCATATTAATTCTGCTAAAATTCTAAGCAAGTTTTGTCTTCATAAGTTTTCACCTAAACTCAATCCAATTTGAGAAAAATGCGTTTTAAATTTCAAGTTTAACGCATTTTGCGCACGACCGGAAAAGGTTTAATTTCACGCCCGCAGGAATATTTCGTGGAGTACATTGCTGTAAAATTCTGAAAATTCCTCGCGTCTTCTGTAATTTGTTTCTTGCATGATAAACCCATTTCACAATAGAAGTACCTTCTAGTCCTAAATCAAAACTAAGATAGATAATTTGGAGCTTAGTTTCTATAAAAAGGGGTGCAAATTTCTTGATCCCGATTGGTAAAACACATCATTTTGATATATTAAAACTAGGCTCGTGATCAGTCGCCCAAAGTTCAAGTACATACAAGTCATCCTGCTGATTGAAATAGAGAGGAGCGGGTTATGTTTTCAGTTTTGTATCATCAGGGAAATTAAAACAGGCTGAAATGGCAAATCGACCATGTCATCTTTGAAAATGAACAACAACAAAGGTCCAAGTACACTTCGTTGTATCACTAAACTTGAATGTGGTAATAGTAAGAGTTCAGATAAACACCAGTTACATTGCTTCAGTTCTATTGTAAAATTTTCAAGTCGAATGAACTTTGCGGACGAAAACGTAAATAAAAATTAGTGATGAGAATTGGGAAGGGGAGTTGAGGTAAAAGGCACTAGAAATTATCCAAAATCATTCAGTTTTTTTCTATTCTCAAATAAGTGAAGGTGATTAAAGTTTGGTGATTACGACTGAGTGATAAAGTTCAAGAAAGTGTAGAAGAGAAGGTGAGTAGATGTTTTCCAGAAAATGGTTGACTTATCTTGTGGTTCAAGTTTTATTGATTCGTATCCCGGAAACTCGTAAGTGGAACGCCTCGCCGAATTTTGGCGGAAATTTGAAATTCCTGATTGGTTTTGGTATAGCATAAGGCATCGCGGATCTATAATATGTTTATTCTGAATAGAGCTTTTCTGCGGGGTGTTATATTTATAGGTAGCTTATCCTACTTTTTTTTGTAAAAAAAAGCGTTAGTGTAAGTGGGCCAGCTCGGTCAACTTTCTCAAATCTAGTTTTTTTTCTACGTGGTCGATAGTCATGTGCATTTGTATTTTTTTGCTGACGTTATTTTTACCGTTTTCACGAAGGTCATAGTGCGTTTGATTTTTATCGGAAACTACAATTTTTGTAGTCTCTCCGATACCCCTTGATGAATTTGGTCGTTTGCTCTTGTTTTTTATCCAAGTTGTTCGAGGGTAATTGTGCATCTGTGTTTCTCATTGGAATTTGGCTCGAAATATTCTCGTGTCGCCAGCGATATGCATAATTGCTCAGTTTGGTTAGTTTTTGAAATTGCACATTTTTTATCTATTTGCGAGAGGACTCCTTCAGTTAGACTGTTCGCTTGCTGTTTTGCTGCAGCCTAAGGAAGAAACAAATGGACAAGTGCTCTCGTCGTCGAAAATATCATTTCGGTTTTTTCGTCTCGCTAATTCTGTCTTATAAATAACAATCGTTGTTCTGCATAGTTAATTTGACTGCAGTTTTCAGAGAAATGTTTGGTTATAGTTTGATCTTGCTCGGGTGACCTTTCTGCAATGCGGCTGGTGGATGCGCCCCGGTACATCATGGCGCTGCCTATGCTGGGGCTGGCAGTGTTGCAATGTGGGGCCTACTCTATTCTGTGGACCTCGTGGCGACTGGTGTCTCTCTGTCTGCCTAGCAAGTACTATCCGAAGGGGGATGACTTTCTGTTTGAGAGATACCAGCAGCTCATCATATTCATCATCGAGAGCTGTGCCGGAGCTCAGGTACATCACATTGCCCGTTGTCTTTTTTTCAGTTGTGATTGTATAAAACCTAGTCGAACCAAAATCTCAGTCTTTTTAAATCCGACTCTCCTTAAATCCGACTTAGCTGTTGGAAGGGATCATGGCGTAGGGTCTGTTTTTTGCAGCAGATTCTGACTACATCTAAGACAACTCGTAGGGGGTTAAGTGCGGTGTCAAATTGAAGCCCTTTCAGCCGTGTTTTGGGTTCACAAAAATTTTCTTAAGTGTTGTCATAGAGTTGAGTTGAAAAAAAACTGTCTTTTTTTCGGTTTCCTTGAGTTCCTTAGACTTTTCCAACCTTCTGTTGGCTATGTTTTCAGCTAGTACTGTACGGTGATGGGAAAGAAGTGCTGAAGAAGAGAGAGAATGTCATCTGGCTCTCAAATCATCAGAGTGCAGGTGCTCAATCAAGTTATCAAGTTGCTTTTTGCTCTTAAATCATCTAGCATTTCAGACACTTAATTGTATGTTGAGTGGTGAGTTTTTTAATCTGGTTTTGTTATTTCTCTGAATCATCATGCTATCTGGTTTGTATTCGATTTGATAAGAGATGGATTTTAGCCGACTGGGTTGTGTGTGAGATATTAGCTCTCAATCAGGGTTCTCTGGCAGGAGTGCGATACATTCTCAAGGACACCATCAAGTACATGCCCATTTTCGGATGGTACTTTCCCCAGCACAACTGTGTCTACGTCAGACGCACTGGCACTCCCAAAGACATCGAGGATATCGAGAGACAGCTGCAGGTGTATCCGAGGCTGCAGATGCCAGTGTGGTTGGTGATATTTCCAGAGGGAACCAGATACAACCCAGACAAGCCCAAAGTAGTTCAAAAGAGTCAGCAGTTCGCACACAAATTAAGTTAGCACTCTTCACTCCACGCGGGAACCGACCTTTTACCATAAAATTTAAAACATGGGATTTTTACCAGACTCAATACACGAATTTGATCGGCAGATGCATTGACTCCGTTTAGTCTGGTTATAGAAAACTATTTTTTCACTATTTATCAGCCAAATTGTGTTTGATTTAGCCGCTTCTTTTTCGAATCTCCACTTATTTTGCAAGGGTACTACAATCGGGTAATAGAACTTTTTTCCCCGGGAAATAACTTTGTTCACAGAATATTCAAAATTAGAAATGGTAAGTTTAGGTTAAGCTCATAACGAATTCAAGATTATGTTCGTATACGGCACACCTAGTCTGGAGGTAACGAATATGTCTGGGAGGGCAAAGGTTCTGGGTTCGAATCTGACAGGTCCTGTTTCTTTTTCAAACGGGAAATATTCTATTTAAAAAAAATTGCCTGCCTATTTTTTGTCTGCTTATGTTTTGTCGGCTTAGTTGTCATTATTTTAGAATCGTTTCTTTGGCTGTGCCCAACTTAAATTGTGATTGCTTCAATTGTTTGATTTACTTCTGCTGTGTTTAATTTTACTTGACTTACTATAGTTTTGAGTCGTTTCAATGAAAACATGATTTTTATGCTCCTTTTTGGATTGCAAAAATTGCTGAAGTGTTAATAGACAACTTTTTTTCCTTTCCTTTTTTCGGCTTGAAAGGTTTCGGCCTATATTATATCGGCTTAATGGCCTCAAATTGATTCTCAAATTTTGTGTGTGTGTTTGTTCAAATTTTGTTTTCTGGCATGTTTTTGTTTCATTTTGATAGATCTATTTTTTTGACCTTTTCGAATTTTTTTGGCTCCACTCTACGGACACGCTGAAATAGAACATGAAATAGAAATTGAACTGATTCTGTATGTGCCCACGCAATCGCCAAAATCCCTTTGAACAACTTATTATGCGAATAGCTTCACTGAGTTCATACGTGCAATTGCTTGTGCTTATGCAATTGAATTGCTGGGCAAAAATGAACCAAAACAGAAGTTACATATTGTTTCTCTTAGTAGAGAAATGTCATTGAAAGAAGTGAATTTTATAAATTTCATTTCAATTTCTTTTTGGATTGGAAGGCAAATGAAGCTCTTCGAAAACATGAGGTTCAGAGATGGGTTTTAATTTTTAAAATTCCCAACGGGATAAACTTTACCGATTGATTCAGATATCTCAAATTGCGTCTTCAACTTAGCAAAAAATTGTAAATCATCAAACATTTTGGAAATTAAAAAAAACTTTAAGGTGATTTATTTTTTTTCGTGACCTTTTTGAAAATCTTTTTTTTCTGTCTCCTGTAGTGCACTGGCTCTTTTCCAACTGTCTTTTGGCTATGTTTTGTTTTTGTTCGATAATAAATTGAGCTTTTTTTCGCATTCAGATCTGCCAGTGCTGAAACACCACTTGACGCCTCGAGTTAAAGCAGCTTTTTTGAGTGTACAGCAGTTACGTAACTATGCGGATGCAGTCTATGACGTCACCATTGGTTATGAGGAGCGCTATTTGCCCACCAATTTAGCAATCAGAAACAGCAACATTAGCTTCACAGGTGAATATAGTAGGAAACTTACAAGTCGCTTATCTTGTTGGCCCATGTGATATGGTACTTCTCTATTAACCTTGAACTCTTTTCTGCTTCGTAATTGCTGTTTACTTGCCAAGCATTTTTTAACCCAGATCGAAGACGGGTTTCAGTTAATGTCGCTTTCTTCCGGGAACAGATTGTCAACTCCAAACGTGCTTCGTGTCTCCTCAAAAGCTTAATAATCGCTGGGGGGGGGGGGGGGGGGGGGTTAGTTTTACTTTTGGAGCTAGTTAATTGGCATAAGCTTCAGTTTAGACTTCGGCATGGGTTTCTACAATAGAGTGCATGTGAAAGTGACCAGAATAGACATCAGAGATGCCCCTGAAACGGAAGAGGAGTTCCAGACATGGCTGCATGACAAGTTCCAGCAGAAAGACAAGTAGGTTTCCTTCACTGAGGTCTTAAGTGTTTCTGAGCCCGGCTAAGACATTTTCTCTTCCAGTGAAAATTGCTCGCAACCATTTTTTGTGTCATTGAACGTAGTGAAGACATTTATTGAGGTCATGTACTTTTTCAGGCTCAAATTTGACTTTTTGCGGTTTGATGAGATTTTACTTAAGTTCATCTCAAGTTCATTTGCTATAAGGAGGGCAAATTAGGCTCCTTAATTAAGAAAGCGGAATTGGCGCGAAAAAAAAACGTGAATATATTTTGTTTCGAAAGTGGGCTTGTATAAATAAATTGCCTTGTGGGAAAAGGGTAGCTATTGAACCAGTTTTCTCTGACTGGGTTAGTTTTGAAGAAAGTGCCTGTCAGAACATGTTCTTGAACTTTAAAAATTTTTGTTTAAAAGTGATCGTTGTATACTTGTCGCTTTCCTTGATCATTGAAATCTTTCAACTTTGTTTTGTTTTAACTGTTGATACTTTAACTCATGTTTTCTAACTGGAATGATAATGTGAAACATTACTGCTGTTTTTTGTCGGTAGCTGTTAACAAATGGCGTCGTCTCCACTGCCGTCGTAACTGGTGTCTCTTCGTCCTTTTTCAGTACTCACTAATGCCAAATGTAAAGAAGCTTTTGAGCATCTTTTTGTCTGTAAAACAGTAGCTGTGGCAATCTCGAGGTTCGCTAAGACCGGGAAGAAAATCTTTTCCAGCAGTCCTAAAGTAGTGTCCAGTGAGCAGAGCAGGTTTTGACGCGTTGAACCGAGTAAATCTACCAAAAAAAATGCTCTCGTAATTCAATTAGCGACTTCGACGGTCTGGTCTCACAGTCTTCTATTGTTTATGTTGTTTGTTTGACCTGACATTTCGGCTGTTGTTGGTGTCTTTATTGACTTTCGATAAGTGGTTGAAGTGAGTGCTGTATCCGTAGTGCAGATATCAAGAAGGCGTGTAAGTCCACGAGCATTACTTTTTTGTTCTACATGGAGATTCGTTGAACCCGTAGGGTTGTGGGAGTTGAAATATTGAAGCTCGTTGAAACTTTGGCTTTTGAACCAGTAGGTTTCTGGCTTTTTCGATAGTTATTGGATCTATTCAATTGAGCGACGAGAAGGTTTTTTCTTCGTCAAGGAGGTGAACTGTTTTGCTGTTGTTCAAATTAAATTGAGATTGATTTTGTAAAAGATTCAAGTAGAAAAGTCGTGTAGTGATCAGCTCTATTATTTTGTGAGCTCCGACGGAGATATCTAAGCGCAGCTCATCATTGTGTGCTTGACTCTGAAACATTTTCCGTTTTGCAATGAAGGTGCTCAAGTGGCCTCGTTTTAGTGCAGCCAGTTGCAATGTGCAACACAGTTTTTACATTTAATGTTCACAAAAATTGAGCTATGTAATTTTGGTGAGCTCCGACCAGAAATTCTTAGCTAAATGGACTTTTTTTGTCCCCTGGCCTGTCATCCACTTCTCCGCAGCCTCACCTACCTTGAGGAGGCGGATGATACTGGGAGCCCTCCAGCCGTGAACGAAGCGGGATCCGAACGCGTGACCCTTGTGTTGAGAGACATGTTCCTAACCCATTCGACCACGGCTGCGCAGCTGAATGGACTCGTTTTAGTCTATCCAGCAGTAGAGTATTCTGTTGAATCTTGACATCATTCTGTTTGGTATTGCTTAGCGACCGAGACAAGACTGCAGCATGCCTAGTTGATATCAATTATTTTTTTGAAGTTGTTTTTTTTGCAGCTTGCTGAGCGTGTTATCTTTTTATAAAAGAGATTAGATTTTTATAAATGACCCCTAGAAAAATGATGACCCCTGCTGCATATGTTCTTTTTTGGATATATTCCATGGCGTTCGCACAGTCAAAGTCACTGTAGATACTGAAGTTGCAAGTGAATTCTCTCCTTGTAAAACTACTGCCAATACAGCTTGTTCGAATCGCCAGTAAAAAAAAACAGCCATGGCAGCTTACAGGCAATTTCCATAGCCAGCACGGGGATATTAGACGCGTGTGTATCATTCCAGCTGGATTTCTGAATATTTTTAAGTCGATTGTCATAGATGGAACAAATCAAAAAGAGGCATCAACCCGCAGTATTTTTTGCAAATGTGAATGGAATGCCTGGCGTGTAGTTTCCGTGTCGATTTTCCCGCTTAATTACGATTCATCGTTTCAGCACCTCCATCATGTCCCTTTAATAGACAAAACCATGACTTTTGTTTTCATAACCATGACTTTTGTTACCTAGACTTTTACGATCGAGAACTAGATTTGAGAATTTTTTAAATTGATGGAAATTTACGCGGTTTACCTTTTGTCAAGGTGACTTCCATCAAAATACAACGACCAAAAGTGAGCTCTGGGGCATGGAGGTCAACCATAAGACATGAGCTTCATCAGAATTATGAAATTACTAAAATGTCAAGTTTTCAAACCGGTTTAGACCTTCAGAACTAACTCCAAATCTTGATGAAATGCCATTGGTCGCATAATCCAGTTGCGGACATGAGAAAATGATTTTTTGTCAATGTCCAATCAGCTTTGGATGCGCATTTGTCCATACATAAGTCGCGCGTTCAAACTCACTTTCGTAGATTACGCTCGACAATGCTAAACGGACTAGCATCATTAGCGAGTACCAATGCGTTCGCAACAGGAACCAAACGATTCTTATAATCGGGTTTTGATGCTTTTTTCAGTCCATTTTCGGCAGCATCAACCAAACTTCATCTCCAGGACATAAAGGGCTGCTGTATCGCAGGAAGTCCAATTGAAGGTGCTCCGTTTTTGTGACCAGGGACAATGAGGCATCGTGGGAAATCTAAGTTTATAAAAACGTTCTATCCTTCTAATTCATAAAAGCTTTCAATCCTGCTTCCGGAAGCCTCGCTGCTGCCGAGCCTCTTCTCGCTGACCAGTTTATACCAAATATCTTGTTTGCTGCATTATATACAGATAAGTAGCCGCACCCAATAAAAATCCCAAAAACGTTTGTTTTATCCCAAGCAATCCTCCTATCGTGATCTGATGGGTTTCGACCTTGAATGGTTCTACTATGTGCTCCAATACTCTATAGCCTTGAAGTGTTTCTGGTAAACGAATCACCTCCATCGACTTGAGTAGAAGCTGTTTACAAATAATAACCTTTCAGATTCAGATACACAATTGTACACATTTAAAAGATGACCCGAAGAGGAGAAAATTTATGCTGCCCAGTTGAGACGAGAATTGATTTTGAAACATATGGGAAAGATGATCATTGAAAGATGATCTTGACTGCTTCAACACCATGCTTAAGTAGGTTTTGTTTATCCGTTAGCAGGGGATAACTAGCACACATTTAAGGCATCTAATTCCACTGTGGTATCGTTCTTGGAGAGGGATGGCTTAAGCCATCCTTTTCTCGGTACCTAGTTTTCCAAGTTATTTGACCGAGAAGGATGGGCACCTAATCACAAATCAACAAGTTAAAGGCAAATTACAGCTCAAGTTCGTTGGTCACAAGACGTTTATTAAGATGAACGAACGTGTTTGTAACAACTCTCAACAGAATAGATGACAAATGTATCAACTCTCGGGGTCTGAGGGCGACCAGCATCTGACTTCTTTGTCAATTAGAAGCGGAGTCGGCCTGGTTGATGAAGTGAAGAACTCGTCATTGGCCACATGATCCATTTGGGGACAAGAAAAAGAGAGTTTCAACTTCCAATGACGTTTGGATGGCCGATTTGTGTCTCCACAAATTGCGCTTTCAAACTGACCATCGCACAAAACAACAGAATTTTTGTTTTGAAGCCTGCAAGACTTTGGTGTCTTTCGGTTGAATTTCAAAGATTACGTAAGACTCATGCTTGTCATTGCTAGCTGAATTTCCGTCATTAGCGATTACCAATGCGTACGCAACAGAAACCGAAGGCTACTGCTGCTGAGCTTCTTCTCGGTTGCCAGGTTTTAGCACATCTTTTCATTGCTTCTTTTTTATACAGATAGGTAGCCTGCGTCTTATACAAGCCCCTTAAATTGTTTTTTTTTTTGTATAGAAGTCTCCAATTGTTTTCCGAGAGGTTTTCACCTTGAATTGTTTTACCATGTGCTCATCATTAACACTTAGCCTTGAGGTCTTCTTGGGAGAGGCATCACCTCCATCGACAACAATAGAAGCTGTTGACAAAACAAAAGCGTTCTACATAAAAATACTTTCAATTTTAATTTGGATTACCCGAATTGGAAAACACTTTTATTGCAGAGTTGAGATTAGAATTGAATTTGAAAAATATGGGAAAGATGATCCATGAAATACGATCTTGACTGCTTCAACACGATGCTTGAGTATGTTTTGGTTATCCGTTAGCAGGCTGAGAGAAAAATAGAACACATTTTAGGCATCTAGTTTTTTTCTATCCTTCCTAAGGCATCTAACAATTAAAAGCAAATTACAGCTGAAGATCGTTGGTCACAACAAGACAAGACGGTTATTAAGATAAACGAACCTGTTTGTAACTACCCACATCAGCATAGATGTAATATGTATCAACTCTGGGTGTCTGAGGCCGACCAGCATCTGACTTTTTGTCAATTAGGAGACGAGTCAGCCTATTTGATGAAGTGGAGAACTCTTCAATGGCCATATGATCCATTTGGGGACAAGAAAATGTGAGTTTCAACTTCCAATGACGTTTGGATGGCCGATTTGTTTCTCCACAAATCGCGCTCTCAAACTGACCATCGCACAAAACACCAGAATTTTTGTTGTGAAGCCTGCAAGACTTCGGTCACTTTCGTTTGATTTTCAAAGATTACGTAAGACTCATGCTTGACATTGCTAGCTGAACTTCCGTCATTAGCTGTTACCAATGCGTCCGCGACAGAAACCGAAGGCTCCTCCACTCTGACAATCGAGTTTTGATGGAGTTTCTCGTCTTTTATTGGCAGCACCAACCAAACTACATCTCGAGGAACGACAGGAGATGGATATTTGAGTGAGCTTGAAAAAAACATGAGGCGTCGCGGGCATTTTAAATGGATGGAAGCGGTTTACTGCTTCTGTAGGCTTCGATGCATCTTAGCCTCTTCTCGTTTGTCAGATTCTAGCACATCTTTTCATTGCTTCATTTGTATACATGTAGGTAGCCTGAATCCTATGCATTTCCCCAAAAATGTTTTTAGGTTATATCAAAAGCCTATCGTTTTCCGAGATGTTTTCACCCTAAATGATTGTATCATGTGCTCATTATTACCACCTAACCTTGAGGTCTTTGTGGTAGAAGCATCACGTCCACCGACAAAAATAGAAGCTGTTGGCAAAACAAAAGCGTTCTACATACAAATACTTTGAGTTTTAATTTGGATTACCCAAATTGGAAAATATTTTTGTTGCACAGTTGAGGTTAGAATTGAAATCGAAAAATGTGGCTAAGATGATCCATGAATTATGAGCTTGACTGCTTCAAGTACGTTTTGGCTATCCGTTAGCAGGGCGCATGGGAAAACTAGCATTCTTTTAAGGCATCTAATTTCACTGTGGTATCGTTCTTGGAGACGGATGGCTTAAGCCATCCTTTTTTCGGTTCCTAGTTTTCCAATTTATTTGACCAAGAAGGATGGGCACCTAATAACAAACCAACAAGTTACAGGCAAATTACAGCTCAAGTTCGTTGGTCACAAGAACACAAGACGTTAATTAAGATAATTGAATGTGTATGTAACTACTCACAACAGCATAGATTGTCAAATGTATCAACTCTCGGGGTCTGAGGCCGACCAGCATCTGACTTTTTTGTCAACCAGAAGCCGAGTCAGCCTGGTTGGTGAAGTGAAGAACTCGTCATTGGCCACATGATCCATTTGGTGACAAGAAAAAAAGTTTCAACTTCCAGTGATATTTGGATGGCCGATTTTTGTCTCCACAAATTGCGCTTTCAAACTGACCATCGCACAAAACACCAGAATTTTTGTTGTGAAACCTGCAAGACATCGGTCGCTTTCGTTTGAATTTCAAAGATTACTTAAGACCCATGCTTGACATTGCTAGCTGAAATTCCGCCGTTAGCTTATACCAATGCGTCCGCGACAGAAACCGAAGGCTCCTCCACTCTGACAATCGAGTTTTGATGGAGTTTCTCGTCTTTTATTGGCAGCACCAACCACACTTCATTTCGAGGATAAAAATAGGAGCTCGGCAAGAGATGCTTGTGTGAGTGAACTTGAGAAAAACATGAGGCGTCTCGGGCATTTTGAATGGATGGAAGCGGTTCACTGCTTCCGTAAGCTTGGCTGCTGCTGAGCCTCTTTTCGTTTGTCAGGTTTTAGCACATCTTTTCGTTGCTTCATTTATATACAGGTAGGTAGCCTGCATCCTATGCAATTTGCTAAAAATGTTTTTAGGTTGTTTGTATAGAAGCCTCCTATCGTTTTCCGAGAGGTTTTCACCTTGAATGATTTTATCATGTGCTCATCCTTACCACCTAACCATGAGGTCTTCTTTTGAGAGGCGTCACGTCCATCGACAAAAATAGAAGCTGTTGGCAAAACAAAATCGTTCCACATACAAAACTTTGAGTTTTAATTTGGATTAACACAAATTGGAAAACATTTTTGTTGCACAGTTGAGATTATAATTGAAATTGAAAAATGTGGGTAAGATGATCCATGAAATATGAGCTTGACTGCTTTAAGTACGTTTTGGCTATCCGTTAGCAGGGCGCATGGGAAAACTAGCATTCTTTTAAGGCATCTAATTTCACTGTGGTATCGTTCTTGGAGACGGATCCTTTGTTTGGAACCTAGTCTTCCGATTCTTTTGAATAACAAAGATGGGCACCTAATAACAAACCAACAAGTTGAAGGCAAGTTACAACCGTCTTGAAAATGAGCGAAAGATGAGAAGAACTCGTCATTGGCAGCTTGATCCATTTGGGGACAAGAAAATGTGAGTTTCAATTTTCAATGACGTTTGGATGGCCGATTTGTGTCTCCACAAACAGCGCTTTCAAACTGACCATCGCACAAAATACCAGAATTTTTGTTGTGAAACCTGCAAGACTTCGTTCACTTTCGTTTGAATTTCAAAGATTACTTAAGACCCATGCTTGACATTGCTAGCTGAACTTCCGACATTAGCGATTACCAATGCGTACGCAACAGAAACCGAAGGCTCCTCCACTCTCACAATCGAGTTTTGATGGGTTTTCTTTTCTTTTTTTGGCAGCACCAACCAATTTTCATCTCGAGGACAAAAATAGGAGCTCGATGTTTTGTTTGTGTGAACTTCATCAAAACATGAGGCGTCGCTGGCATTTTGAATGCATGAAAGCGGTTTACTGCTTCCGTAGTCTTTGCTGCTGCAAAGCCTCCTCTCCTCTCGGGTTTTTTGTTTGCTACATTTATCTACAGATAGGTAAGCTGCATCGGACACAAGTCTCCAAACACGTTTTCGAGGTTGATGACCTGAGTGTACGTCACCTCTGAAGCGGTTTTCGGTCATTAGTTGAGCATGGAGGTACACTATATTTAGCTTTGAAGAACTTACTTCAAAATAAAGCACCAAACTGATGAGATTCTGTAAAATCGTCGAGAAAATAAATGAGTGCCATCATGTTGAACAGCTGAAAAGGAAGGTGGCGACTTTGAAAACAAAACAAGTGTAATTTTTTTCATTAATCATTACATTCAGTCACCAATGTCAAAAATAGGCCTGTACAAATTGAAGCTTAAGATTATCCTTCTTTAGCTAAAATAGGGAAAATGATTTGAAGATTGATGGTGGTCGTTCTTAAATTGCAACTGAGTGCCTTAAAAAACAGTCGTGTATAAATTGAGGAAATGAAAATGAGTTTCCCGTATAAAAAAAAAACCAAAAAATGGTTAATTGTTTTTGTCGTGCTTTATACAACTGAATGCGTTAGATATCTGAGCCATTTAAAGTCTTATTAATGGTCAGTTTCAACCAGAACCAGGAATAAGAGATGATTTGAAGTACTGCATTAAAAAGAGCATGAGGTAATCTGACTAAATGTGGACATGGTAACAATGAAATTATCATTGCGTTTGGTTGCGTCACCCTACGAATCATAAGGCAGTTGAAAGCCTAACATTCGCTGGTAGTAAATTTTGAAAGAAAGATGCCATCTAAGACCAACAAACATGTTAACACAAATGACATTTCGGCTTCGTTTTTTTTCCGGTTTTGATGACATTTCTTGTCCAACTAGTGAAGATGTGAAGTGGGTTAATGAATTGATAGTTTGGGTTATTGGTTTTCCATCCAGTTAAAGAGATCGTTTAGCTATACTCAGACAGTGGTAGGCATGTCAATGCCTGTATCAATAATTTTTGTGTCATCCGCGTAGATTGTAACTCTAATAGTCTAATTTGTTTGCTGTTGGCAGAGGCAAAGAGGATACATAATTGTTGGACAAGATAGGCGGCAGCACTTCTCTTCTCCTTCAGGAACCCCTTGTTTTGTGCGGGAATCTCAACTGAGATTTCTTGTCTGTAATTTTTTCAAAGTTAGGAAGTTCTTGGATATCTGATCTAATCTGCCTTTTTGGTTTTCTTTCAGATGAGAAATTTGGTTGTTTTTGCTGCCGGATTCCATAATTCTCAGTTTAAAATGTTGCAGTACGAGCAAGTGCAACTAGGAGCGTTATATGTGCTGGCGTCACTTGGCTTGGAACATTTTTGATGTCTCTTTAAACAATTAATGGATCTGAATGGAAGTTAATGGGTGGCCTTTGTTGACATTGTTTTTTGCCGCAGCCCCTAAAAGAAATGGGAAAGAAGTTTGGGGATATATGTTTTCACTGCCTCAAAGAAAGATCATAGGGATCCTAAGTATCACATTAAAGCCCTTTCTGTAGTGATTTGGTTTCCAAAACAGTTTTCTGTGTCGAGGCAAGCTGGTCTGAGTTTTCTTCCGGCTAAAAGTTTAAGTTGAATTTCTTTCTTTTCATTTTGGTTTTTTTTCAATATTTTAGTTGTTCTTAACTGTTTTTTTTTCTGGCTCATGAACCAATTCAGTCCAGTCCCCCATCGCTAACTTAAAAAAATGTTATTTTTCATTTTGTTAATTAAAATGGTGTGGTGGAATTTGAGCGTCCTGTGCTAATTGCATTTTCTTATGTTCATGCAGAGACCTGGACCATTTCTACAACAGTGACATGGGCAAGGCTAGAAGATTCGCGGGCCAATCATACCTGTGTCCCAGATCCACCTTCACCACACTGCAAAGTGTCTGCTTCTGGGCCGTGTCTTCTGCCGCCATTCTCATGACGTCACCTGGCGCCTGGCTGTGGAACCGCAGCTGGGCTGGCATCCTCCTCGGAGGCACTGTGTACGCTGTGCTGAAGAAGTAAAGGTGAAGCGTAGCCACTGATGATGATGCTGCTGTTGTTGTCCGATCAGGAGGTGCCAATCAACTTATCAACTTGGTTGTCATCGTTTCATATGGTGCACTGAAGTGTATGAACTCTGTTCTGTCCTCACGACATTATTCCTTAAACGTTTTCTTTGTTTGAATTATGGATGGATATGATTTGATTGCTATTGACGATGATGATGATGATGATGATGATGATGGTTTTGATGCTCATCTGATTAGTAATTAATATCTTAATTCAATGCTTTCTAATACAATCTGAGTTCCCTCAAAGTCGCAGTGTTGAGACCATTTATCCACGAGAGAAAAAGACCAATATGCAAGCTGTACAGCTCATCACGGCGAACTGCTGTTGTGCCCGTGCTTAAGACCTACATGTTATTATTCTGGGCCGGGTAATGTTGCCTCATCCTGAAGCTACGAGCACGGATCATGTTGGGCCTCGAACATCCGACAGTTCGATTGAGAGGCGGAGACGTAACCACCTCACCACCGCACTTTCAACTATTACTGAGAGAAAAATAGTGACAAATTGAAAAATCAAATGAATAATTAGTGTGTCAGAATAGTCTGAGTGCAATTGTACCACACTTCACATGTCTTGTCTATCACTCCATCCAAATATCTTGTCCTGCACTCTTGGGGCTGCATTCTAATTTTGGATCAGGTTAACATCCTCCCCCCTAATAGACCAAATTAAGATCCTCCACCCCAACGTTCAATTTAAACTGAATTTGCTAAGAGCTGCTCTTCTGATTGGCTGAAAATTCGAGCTCAGAACCAAGTTAACATCCTCCACCACAGCGTTCAATTTAAACTGAATTTGCTAAGCGCTGCGTGTAAAATACTCTTCTGATTGGCTGAAAATTCGAACTCAGAACCAAGTTAACATCCTCCACCCCAGCGTTCAATTTAAACTGAATTTGCTAAGCGCTGCTCTTCTGATTGGCTGAAAATTCGAACTCAGAACCAAGTTAACATCCTCCACCCCAGCATTCAATTTAAACTGAATTTGCTAAGCGCTGCGTGTAAAATACTCTTCTGATTGGCTGAAAATTGGAACTCAGAACCAAGTTAACATCCTCCACCCCAGCATTCAATTTAAACTGAATTTGCTAAGCGCTGCGTGTAAAATGCTCTTCTGATTGGCTGAAAATTTGAATTCAGAACCAAGTTAACATCCTCCACCCCAGCGTTCAATTTAAACTGAATTTGCTAAGCGCTGCGTGTAAAATGCTCTTCTGATTGGCTGAAAATTCGAACTCAGAACCAAGTTAACATCCTCCACTCCAGCATTCAATTTAAACTGAATTTGCTAAGCGCTGCGTGTAAAATGCTCTTCTGATTGGCTGAAAATTTGAACTCAGAACCAAGTTAACATCCTCCACCCCAGCGTTCAATTTAAACTGAATTTGCTAAGCGCTGCGTGTAAAATGCTCTTCTGATTGGCTGAAAATTCGAACTCAGAACCAAGTTAACATCCTCCACCCCAGCGTTCAATTTAAACTGAATTTGCTAAGCGGTGCGTGTAAAATGCTCTTCTGATTGGCTGAAAATCGAACTCAGAACCAAGTTAACATCCTCCACCCCAGCGTTCAATTTAAACTGAATTTGATAAGCGCTGCGTGTAAAATGCTCTTCTGATTGGCTGAAAATTCGAACTAAGAACCAAGTTAACATCCTCCACCCCAGCGTTCAATTTAAACTAAATTTGCTAAGCGCTGCGTGTAAAATGCTCTTCTGATTGGCTGAAAATTCGAACTCAGAACCAAGTTAACATCCTCCACCCCAGCGTTCAATTTAAACTGAATTTGCTAAGCGCTGCGTGTAAAATGCTCTTCTCATTGGCTGAAAATCGAACTCAGAACCAAATTAACATCCTCCACCCCAGCGTTCAATTTAAACTGAATTTGCTAAGCGCTGCGTGTAAAATGCTCCTGATTGGCTGAAAATCGAACTCAGAACCAAGTTAACATCCTCCACCCCAGCGTTCAATTTAAACTGAATTTGCTAAGCGCTGCGTGTAAAATGCTCTTCTGATTGGCTGAAAATCGAACTCAGAACCAAGTTAACATCCTCCACCCCAGCGTTCAATTTAAACTGAATTTGCTAAGCGCTGCGTGTAAAATGCTCTTCTGATTGGCTGAAAATTCGCACTCAGAACCAAATTAACATCCTGCACCCCAGCGTTTAATTTAAACTGAATTTGCTGAGCGCTGCGTGTAAAACGCTCTATTCTGATTTGCCGAAAATTCGAACTCAGAACCAAGTTACCCCTAAAGAGCTTTGGAAAATTTTTGGTTACAGCTCGAATGACGTCTCGAAGGGCTTCAAACTTCAACATGCGTATGCGTATTCTGCCAACTTCCAACATGTTTTGAAAAATAGCTAGCAATAAAATTAAATGCGTAGGGCCAAACCACCAATATGCATAGGGAATGTTCCAGGAAACAGTAATGCACGGCTAATTAAATCAAATTCAAGTGCTGTTTCTACTACTTTGATCTTTAATATCTTTGGGATCGTCAGTTAGTGCATTCGATCTATAATCGGAAGGATATATAGTGTGCGAGGACGAGCTCTCACTTGCTCTCTAGTGTCAGTGCTTCCACAGCCTGACCGATTTAGGCTTCAATAATGGTAGCACGGGAACATTTCTCAGCATAAAATTTAAAGGCCTTCAATCATAGAAAAAGCTCCCTGGAGTGTAGAACTGAATGTGGAGAATTGATAGACTCAGACTATCCTTGGTCAGGCTTGACAAACCTTAGACAGGGTACTCGCGGAAGTAAAGTTTTGTTGTAATTTTACTGATAAAAATTTAGTGAACTTTCCAGTTATTGTTTTCGACCTCGTCTGTCTGACGTCTAAAAGTTGTCAGCTGAAATTGTGGCAGAATACACCAGATTCAAAAGTGAGTGATGGAAGTTTATTTATCTGCCAAAACTGCGCCGGATACAAAGAACATACTTTTTCTGAATTGGGTCTCCAAATCAAAAAGAAAAAAGTGGCTCATTTTTTCTGGATCATTTTTGGTTGTTCCCTTAACCCAAGTTGCTTCAATTACAGTAGTTCATTTTAAACCAATTTGTTTATAATTATTGCGATTACTTTTGAAGTTATGACTGAATATTTGAGCTCGGTTGGTTTTTTTTATTCATACCGATTTCGGCTTTTTAAAAAGGAATTTTTGGCGGGACTTTTTTGTACCATCTGAAAAGTAATGTTGTCTTGAGCTCAAACTGAAAGTGTTATTTTTACCTGTGGTTGTTTTTTGCTAAATTTAATGGGGGGTTTAAACATAGCCAGTCTTCAAAATTAGCGCGCGATTAAATTTGTGCTATTAACGCATAAGCTGCCATCTAAGCTGGCTTAGAAATAGTTCCAAATTGAATTGAGGCTTGCTATCTATTCTAATCATTACGTTTCTGTATGTTGAATATATCACTTTGTAAATATCGTATAGGGATGATTTTTCGAAGTCAGACTATTCAGGGCGTCGCCATGATACGAGCATGCTTGTTGTTCCGACCATCGAAACTTTGTATTCGGATGTTTTAGTTTTTTTTTTCGTTTTGTTTTCCACGCAAAATCAGCGACCACAAATAATTGTCGGATATGGTTGAGCGATATATCATATTCAAGCTCTTTCAGTCGTGATTCTAACCACATTAAAAATTTCCAAACATTTTTCCCAATATCGAGAAAAACCAGTTTGAAATGTTTGATTTTTTGTCTTAACTCGAACGAATAAAAAGCGAGTAGGCTTTTTGTTTTCCACGCAAAATCAGCTATCACAAATAATCATTGGACTGGGTTGAGTGATATAACACATTAAGGCACTTTTATTCTTGATTCGAATGAGATTAAATTTTAAAAATTTTTTGCCAGTGTCGAGAAAAACCGCTTTGAAATGTTTGAGTTTTTGTCTTACTTCGAGTGAATAAAAAATGAGCAGGTTTTTTTTGTTTTCCATGCAAATAATGCTACCACCAATAATCATCGGATTGGGTTAAGTGATATATCATATTAAAGCCCTTTCAGTCGTGATTCGAACGATATCAAAAGTTTCAAACATTTTTTCCCGGTATCGAGAAAAAACGTTTTTGAGTTTTTTGATTTCTCGTATTTTTTTGAGCGAGTGAGCAGGCTTACTTTGGCTCATTTATGCTTAAATTAAGCCTCGAAAATTCATTTTTACTCTAATGAAGTTAGTTTTTGGAGTTTTTTGCTTCATCTTAGCAATCAAAAGCTTAAGAAAAATTTTTTTTTTGTTTGTTTTTCTTGTAAATTGTCTTCAAAAAATGTTTTGTAAATTGCATCTTTTACATGTTTGTAAAAATGCCTAAGCTATTTTTTTGCTCAGATTCCTTTATCACGCCAAGTCGAAAAAAAAAGACTCTAATTGGAAAAATAATTTAGTTGTAATTTTTTAAGACTGGTCGGCACATTCTTTGCTACTTGCACAGTAGCCGGTTATCCTTACCTGATTCGCATATCATTAAAATAGTTGTCGCTCAAAGATTTTCAATCTATCTCAAGGATTCGACCTTTTTACCAATGAAAAGGTCCTATAAAAGGTTTTTTGGTACTATTCTACGACATCCGTTTTCAACCGACTGATCTTGAAGGTTTTCTAAAGGCGCTTCGGACGCCAGAAAATAGTTGGTTTGAGGAAAATTGCGCGTCCAAAAACGGGTTTTTTGGACAACTTTTTGTTTCAAAAAATGCACAAAATAGCCTCTTTGGCCTATTTTTACCCTTGCGATGAGTTTAGACTTTTTTCTCGTAAAAAATTTTGTCCACAATCTGCTCGAAAGGCAAATTTTTTAACAGCGACTTAATAGCATGGTTGGAGTGTATGAACTCTTTATTTGTACCTTGGTTGAAAGTTAACAGTTGTAAAATCCCTTTTATCTGTACCATAAAATTTTCGTAGAATTTCGGCACCGAGGTCGGTCGGCTTTGTTTCTGTCGGCTCAAACACCTCATTTTTTTTTCTAAGTTTGTTGTTTTTAAATGAAAACGGTTGAACTCTAACAAAAAACTTTGGAAAATCTAGAACGCTCTTTTACGACTTCTCTAAAAAATTTACAAAATTAACCTAAAAAATTGTTGAAAACCAGTGTCGAGAAAAACCGGTTTGAAATGCTTGGTTTTTGTCTTAATTCGAGCGGATAAAAAGCGAGCAGGCTTTTTTGTTTTCCAAGCAAAATCAGCTACCACAAATAATTATCTGACT